TTTTTTCTTGGATCTCTGAGCAAGAAACATACTTCTGCGACATCGTTTTTACTTCTTTCCGTTTTGTTTGGTATTCACCAATGGGAAAGTAAGATTCACACATTTTTTCTTATCTGTGGCAAAATTCCTACCAATCCTGCTTTTAGCCACTATTAGTGGCAGTTATTTGTGGCTAAAAGCAGACAACGTAATATAGTATTGTATGTACAATTTACATATGTATATTCAAGTGTAGCTTTGTCACGGAAAAACGCAATGAAATATAACTGATATTGAAGTAAAACCTAGCATACCGTTTTGAATTTCGTTCGTTCACTATTTCGAATAACATCTTTCTATACCAATCCAATCAGCTGGCGTAAAAGATACCGCTTCCCATCATTGAACTGAATATGAAAAAATCTTAAGAATTTAAATAACTGATGAGACAACGGATTATAGAACCAGTGTTACAGCATATATATAGATACATTAGAGATATCAATTGTAAGAATTTTCAATTGGTTTGAACGCGTTCCATGTTTTACATTTTTTTTAAATAAGATAAATCGATTCAAAACCCACCTATGAACTATTTATCTAATTTTTTTTGGTTTTTGAATGAATTTTCTACTATTCTCCGAATGCTTACATTATTTAATTTGAACGACAGAATTTCTACTTGTTTTTAGAGCTTTTGCAATGGATATTCCCTTTCTATTAAAGTGGGGTTGGCTTCAACAGAAGAACTGTCGGAAAGACCGATTCATCGCTATTGTTAAACAGAGTAGACTTTTGAAAATTTATCTTCATATAAAAATACATTTCATTCACTATTGAACCTTTGTTTTAGATTAGTCTTCGGTTACTCTTTACCAAAAATGTCAATGACGGGAATTGTAAATACTTTTCAAATTGGCCTATGTTGTTTATGTTTAAGTTTAATATGTATTTTGTTTTCGATATATATCTTCTAGCGTGATGATTCACATAGAAGGAAATGGGATACAAGTGAATATGAGCGAATAGCACGTGAACGTATTGAACAATTGCGAAAGAAACAGAATGAAGACAGTGATGATGATGACGATGATGATGAATTAGATGAAAAGCCAATTAAACGCACTCTTTTACAAGCAAGAGATTATAAGGTAATAAATGAAAAAAAAATAGAATAAGCAATGCATTGTTTTGATTTATGAAATTTCTTTTGAGGTTGATCTTGATTCAAGGTTAGGAAAATCAGTGATTGTTACTAAAGCGACACCGGCATCTGACGCAGGAGGGTAAGTTAATGATTTTTTTCTTCAAAGCGTGAATATAAGACATGAATGCTGCGTTGTTAAACCAATCAAGTCGAACGTTTTTTCTCTGGGTTCATTCATATGATGTCATTATTATAAAGGTCCTGTCCTATCGTTAGTCGCATCACTGTCTTTAGTTTCGTTTCTTTAAATCATCTAAAATAAATAAAGTTTCGACACATAAGAAATACGATGGTTTAATCTAATTTATCACCGTCTGTAGTTGTGATATAGGTTATATCCAAAGCTAAACTAGTAACAGAAGAGGATTACGCAAAATTTGCTGATAAAAGATAGTGTGACTTGGTCAGCGTATGCTACGTCTACACTACTATAATATAAGTGTTCTTTGAACTTCAAAAATATCATGAGAACTATGTTTTATCTCAAGCAAGGTTACACTAAAGATACATGATGTATGCGAGGGTTTTGAGAAAATTGAATCGAGCCACAAGAGCTGTTTCTGAAAAAGAATTTGAAAACGTGTTGAAAAGTAAGTTTCACAAAATTACAATTTTCAGACTTAAAAGACTGTTCTATCTAATATTAAAAAATTCACAATTCACTCAATAAACATCAGAACGAGTTGAACAATTTAGGATGTACAGTATATAGGCTATTCTGCATTCTGTTTGCAAGAAAGGTACAACAAATCTTTTTCAAATCTTATGCTTTTCTACAAAATATTAAGACAAAAATACATTTTTTCAATATTTTAGATTCCATAAAGATGTTTCGTCTATGAAAATTAATCGTAAAGAAAAAAGATAACCATAAACATTATTTTAAAAAATAGATGATATTACGAGCTCGATTTTGTTTAGAGAAAGTACAATGATATTTTATAAAATAAACAAAAAGCTTGCTCAATAGTGAAAGATTTAGAAATTTTCTCTCTTTCTCTATTTTTATCTTAGAGTTTCTTGAACGAGCAAGTTGAGAACTGCAGAAGTTGTAATTACACATTGACTGAACAGATATCTCAATAATTAATTTTTTTGAACTTCATTGAATACGATGACAAATTATTAGAACTATTTATCTATTGCTTAAAATCGTTGTCATTGTTAGAAATTCTTTAACATCCGTGTCTACATTGTGAGAAACTGAATGGGATATATTTATCTTGTAATATATAATGATCCTTTTTTATTCAGATATTATTGCAATGTTTGTGATTGTGTTGTCAAAGATTCAATTAATTTCTTAGATCATATCAATGGAAAAAAACGTAATTAAAACTAGTTTATATTTATTTATGCATACTTTCAACTATATTCTAGTTTAGATCAACGGAATATGGGAATGTCCATGAAAGTTGAACGAAGTTCAGTTGATCAAGTGCGAGAACGTATCAAATTAAATAAACAAAAACAAAGTGAACAAGAAAAAGAATATGATTTTGAAGAAAGAATGAAAGAACTTAAAGAAGAAGTAAATAGATCGCAGCATTCATTCTGTTTATTCATTTATCTTTTCTTATTTTGTTTAGGAAGAAAAACTTAAAGCCCATCGTCGTGAAAAACGAAAAGAATCAAAAAAACGAAAATTTGACGATGCTCATGGCGATGATGACGATGAATCAGATTTAGCTACTGTTATGGGATTTTCAGGATTTGGGGGAATCAAAAAATGATATATGCAATTAATTTTTCTGGTACTTTTTATGTAAATGATTGATTGTTTTTTTTTCACATTTTTGCGTTTTGAATATTCGTTCCCAAGAAAGAAGCGCAGTTAGCTTTATCATAACAAAAAACTTTTAAAAGTTTATGACGAGCATTGAGCACTAGTTCTTTAAATTTGCCGTCTGTGTGTCGTAGTATACGTTAGATAAGATAATCTGTTATTTTCATCTGTGATATTAGACGACTTTCGTTTCTTAAAATGTAACATATCTTTACAAAACAGATATCATAATTCTAAGACGATATATGTGAAAGTATTACGATAACTTATTGAATACTTCCGTACATATTTTCGCACTTTATACACGACTGAAAGCCGGGAAGATTTAACTACAGTATGATTTCTAGTCGGCGGGGAAAACGTGAATTTTGGATTTTGGACTGTCATAGATTTTAATGGACTAGATGTAGATGTACTCTTAAAGTCGATTTTAGGCCAAAATTCAATGGATTTATATGGATTTCTAGTCGAGTTACGGACAGTAGGATAGAATTTAAAAATTAAAAACCGTTTTCAATTATTAACAATTGATTATCTTCATTCAATGAAAGATTCTACAGAAATTTTTTCCCATTTTACTATTTTAGAGACGCAACTTGATTACTGTCTGCTTGTTCCATGTATCACTGTCGGTTTTATCTTTTTGACATGTTCATACTAAAGTTTCATTAAATGAAAAATGATGTATATCCTTATGTATGAATTTAAAAAATAAACACAAGAAAAGATGAGCAATGACAGTATTTATCTATTTCGCTAAAATATGTACACTACAAATAAATACGTCAATATTCCTGTTAGAAGTGAAAATTATGCGTACATGATGATCACTAAAACCTAAAGATTTTCTTCTTCAAAAATTTTGTCATTGTTCATTAGTTTTTAGTCATCATCATGTACGCATAATTTTCACTTCTAACAGGAATATTGACCTATTCATTTGTAGTGTACATATTTTAGCGAAATAGATAAATACTGTCATTGCTCATATTTTCTTGTGTTTATTTTTTAAATTCATACATAAGGATATATATCATTTTTCATTTAATGAAACTTTGTTTGCTAGATCATCTTTAATGTATGTCGAGAAAGAGAATAAAACCGTTTTCTCCGTGCATTCATTTTCTACTCACGTTTTACCGAGTGAAGTAGGAAAAAAATCCTGTTACATACAGATTTTTGTTTTCTATTCTCTTTTTGTAACAGTAGAAAAATTGTGATCTTTATAGTTTTTTCAATTTTCCAGAAAACTGTGTATCTACATAAACTCCGTATCACTAACATTTTGTAATATAAAGAAAAGAACAATTATTATTGAATCATTCAAAGATAACAAACAGCAATTAGACAAAATCATGTAATGATTTCGAAAAAAGATATTTTATTTCTAATTGGTGAACAATAATAAACGTCGATGGCTGGATTGTCATTTGCATTAATAGATATACTATTAAGCATTTTTCTGAAACAAAAAGACAGATAAGTGTCAGTCTTTCTACAAAAATTAACTAAAACATTAATCTTTTAAAAATAGTTCTTTTTTTACTTCTAAACACCGTCTGCATGGTTTTTATCAACGTTAACGCTTTTTCTAATAAAAACGAATATCCAGAAAATATTATCCACTATGCCTGGGTCAAAAACGATTCTTACCTTTTTTACTCAAAGAAATGATGATAGTAAGAACAATCGATTTTGAGGATCATTGATTTTATTGCTGATATATTAAGTCATATACAGTGTCCCGAAAAATTGACCGTACAGTAGAAGAGAAAACTTGGCGAACGCATTTTCCGACGCAAGAAAGTCGCTAAAGACACTCTTGTTTTATCGATAGATAGCGTAGAGTCTATCATAGACTGGGCATAAGTACACCAAAAGAACTTTTTTTTAATTTAGTCGTATTTTGAGAACCGAATAATTAACCATACACTTGCTTGTCTCTAATTTTCTAGACGTTTCCAAAATAGATGAACCTTTTATTTTAATACCATTCGCAAGAGAATTTAATGCGCTACACGTAGACAAACAAATGATTGAAAAAAGATCTTTCTGGAATTCTAAAACAAAACAGGCATTAGTTTCCGAAAATTCTTTACAATGAAGCTTTGTCGGATACGTGGATACTCGACATAGAAATTCTCTGCTACAAATTTCACTGTTTCTAATGAAAAACAGTTTGAGTGTCTAGTATATTGTGAAGATAGAGAAATAGAGCTCGACAGTGTGATAGAGATGTGCACGGGTACCATTTTCGTACCCGTACCCGACCCGAAAATTTTTTTTCCACCCGTACCCGACCCGACCCCACAACTTTGTACCCGTACCCGACCCGACCCGAGAAGTGTGTACCCGTACCCGACCCGTAATCGACTTATACCTAAAAGATTTCTCCTTTTTGTTTTCCAGCTAAAAACTTTTGTTTTTCGGCTGAACATGTCAAATTATCATTACGTTCTCAAGTAATTCTTT